CTCCTCCACATCTCCTGATGAACTGGCCTGTCTCCTGTTAGCACCTCCATGCTCTGAACACTACGCTGACAGACACAGCAAACCTTCTTGCCACAGCTCGCATTAATGTGCCATCCTGGATGAGCTGCACTACCTGAGCCACTTGTGTCTCATGCTACCACCAGTGTGAAAGCACCACCAGCATTCAAAAGGGACCAAAACATCAGCCAGGAAGCATAGGAACTGAGAAGTGGTCTGTGGTCACCACCTGCAGAACCACTCCTTTATTGGGGGTGTCTTACTAACTGCCTATAATTTCCACCTGTTGTCTATCCCATTTGCACAACCGCATGTGAAATTGATTGTCACTCAGTGTTGCATCCTAAGTGGACAGTTTGATTTCACAGAAGTGTGATTGACTTGGAGTTACATTGTGTTGTTTAAGTGTTCCCTTTATTTTTTTGAGCAGTGTATTAAAAATCACCTAAATATAAACTGTGACAATATGTAAGTTTAATATATTACATGGATCAGCTTAATTTTTTTTTTTTTTGGTCCTCCCTCTTCCCCAGAGACACCTAGTATGGATGTATGAATAGTTAGTAAGTTTGAATTTAACAATTTGTTAAATTTGTTAAACTTTTGTTAAGGAGTCACTGTACATTTTGCTATTGTTTTGTGGTTGTTTCCTCCTCATATGTGATGCATCAAATGAATAGCATAAAATTGAGCTAAATGTAATTTAGCAAACATAACTTTGCATAGTGCAATATAACATAGATTATATTTTTGTATAAAGATGGAGATAATGACAAATAAATTTTTTGTAAAAATTTAAAATTGATTAATAATTCATTTATAAATAAGAAAACAAAAAAAATATTTACAACAAAAAAATAAACAACTAATGGGCTGGCTCCATTATATCACTGCAGGAAAGGACATGAAATACAACTCTGATGTTAATATAAATTGGACAATCAGTTCCATAACAGTAAGTCTTTTTCCTGTCCAGTAGAGGATGCGTCCTGCTCTAGCGGTACCTGTTTAAATTTTACTCTCACTAGACTGCTTTATAAAAAGACCAAGCCAGGGGAGTTAAAGGGAAACTCCAGTGCCAGGAAAACAGTCAGTTTTGCTGGCACTGCAGGTCCCCTCTCTCTCCCACCTCCCAATTCCCGGTTGGGAGGACCCGGTTGGGAGGACACATAATGCATCTGATTGACTTGTACAGATTCAGTCGGATTGGCAAAATTCTGACCAGAATATGCTTATAAAGTAAATAGCAATTTGGTCATTTTCACTGGATTGTGTATTTTCAGACAATATCTATGTTAGTGAATTACCCTGTAATACTGTATGTGGTACTGGTGGTCATCAACCTAACTTGTCCACTTTAAAAAAAATAATAATATTAAATTACTCCTGCTGCTACTCGCCCTTTTGCAGGGCCTTCAACTGTGCCTTTTCCCTACCTGACTGACGCTTGCATTGCCTCATACTGAAAGGGCACTGTTTTTTCCACACTGACAGTATCTTCTTTTTCTAAGAAAAGTAAGCATGGGCAATTGATGACTAACTCACCCTTCACCCCCTGAGTAGAACAAAGCTCCCCACATAACCCATATCTAATGAGATTGATTGTCTTTCAGTGTGGGAAAAAAACAGTGCCCTATAATCGGCTTCTACCACCTGCTATTGCAATCGTAGCAGCCCTTGCAATACTCAGCCAGGAAGAGAGAAACCACTATAATGAAAGACATTTGAAAAAAGGAAGAACAACTGCAGAGTTATTTAATTTTAAAACAGGAATTAAAAAAACATGAAATGAAGCAATAAGAAGGAAATTGATGACCCATTCACCCTATCCACCTCTTCATTTTTTGGAAAATTTGCTTTTTTCCAATTATATTATGGCTTATGCTTTTATAAATAAAAAAAAGGAAAAACTATTATAATCACTCATTATAATAGTAAATTATTTTGCTTCATACTTTTTGCATCCACATATATAATCTAATTTTGTCAACTAAGAATTGGAATTGCATGATATTATGTAGCTATTTTGTTCCCAAGGATACCTCCAATGCAACCAAGACTTGGTTTCAGAAGAAGTCCAGCAAAATTCTACAGTGGCCATCACAGTCACCAGACTTGAACCCCAAGTCTCTGGTGTGATTTGAAGAAGTTGGTTACAGCATGTAAACCAAAGAATATTACTAAACTGGAGGCCATTGCTCATGAACAATGGGCTAAGATTCCTCAGGAACACTGCCAGACCCCGGTGTTTGGCTATGCATCTTGTTTTCAGCAGGTCATCACATCAAAATGGTGCACTACTAAATACTAAAGATGCTTGCTATGAAGGGTTGAATCATTTTGGGACTGGAACAGTAATTATAAATTGCATTTTCAGTTGAATTTGGGGACACAACTTGAAGCATTTGTTGTGTTGAGCTATTTCAATTGGTTTTGTTTGATTTGTTCATTGAACACAGCCTAACGTCTGTAAAATGTAACAATAAATCTAATTTTCAATAAGGGTTGAATAATCTAATTACAGCTCTATATGTTAGCAATTTACTTATTGTTAATAATTGTATCATGTAATATTTGGAAAAAAATGTCTAAAATGTTACCCAGTTTACAGTAGCGTACATATCATCAATAATACTGCTGGAAAATAATAAAGACATTTTTCAAATTAACTGACTGTTCTCAGTTGTGGAAAGTAAGCAATTAAAAAAAAAGAGAGAAGACATTTTTTCTCTTTTCTGTTTTCATTTTAATCATTACAAAACATGGCAATATGATCCATTCTTTGGAGCACGAAAAAACAAATTGCTCATTATTTTATTGTCTATGTTTTCCATCACGAGTACCTTATGTGTATTGTTTGCTAATTTAATGATGCAGCCCATCAATAAAAATTAGCATTAAGGCTCATGGAGGCTGATGCTACTTAGTTGGGGAATCAGTGTGTAAAGAGAGCTGGGGAATATCTAATATAAATTGATGATGCTTTTACAGTGCATCTCATTAAAGTCATAAAGAGACTTAGAATTTATGTCAAGGGTAAATAACACATTGCTGTCTGGACAGCTCATTAAATTCTAGAGGTGAAAGACTATATGTAGAAAGCTATTTCAGGTAACTGTACAAATTGTTTTCTATTGGATTTTCTAAGTCATTAAGAATGGAGAAAAGTTGATTCCAAAGTAATTTCTAAAAAATGAAATGGACTCCTCTAACCCATATGTCATTGTAAACCTTGAAAGACAATAATTTGATTGAAAGGCACTTGGAAAGAAAGGGGATATATCCATAGGATTTGATGTAAGATATAAAAAAACAAAACAATATTGAATCATACTAAAGCAAAATTGAATGTGTGTTAAGATTTGTAGTTTTAAATTTGTAACAATAAAATTATGCACATATTACATTGGTCTTATTAGACTTCAATTGTGTATGCATTTTAGAAAAAAAAGGAAAGCAATAATATAAAAAGGAAAGAAGATCAGAGTGAGCAGATGTAGACAATGGAAGTGTTTTGTTCATATTTAATTTATGTGCACACATCTCTTTATAATTCATAGTTTTAGTCATTTAGATTTTTCCTATGTTAAAACACTTTTTTATTCCTGTTTTTGGATGGGTGTGAAATGGCAAAAGGATGGTTGTGCTGTGTTGGCTCTGGCGATAATGGTAAAAATATGTGCAATAGTAACTTAAAGGGTACGTGTCATACCAGGTATAACTTGTGCTCTCTTTAAAGAGAATGAAATTCTGTCTATACATTTTGCTAGTGTTTTTGCCAGTAAATGCATAGTTTGGGGAGAAAAAAAAACGTTTTAAAAGTCAAATTGTCAGCATAGACAATGCCGATGAGTTGACTTCCAAAGGTCCTCCTCTCCCAGCATAGCAACCGCAGCACATGCACTATGGTTGTTAGGGAAACTCACTAACTAGAACTGCTATCACTGGCTAGGGTGTATCAGAACAAATGATTCATTCAGATGTTGGCATGCTGGCAAAGAGGCTTGCCCTGCTTTGGGAAGTAAGTAAAGAAAGCATGAAGAGCTAGATCAGACCAGAGGTGTGTGTTAACAAAAGAGTAACAAAAACAAGGACGAGGAAATGGCAATGCTGTATCAGAAGTATTGTGATTCATATTTTGATATTACACATTGAATAAATCATGTATCTCTGTGATACATGTTTAATTCAATGCATTTGGGGGTAGTCTTTAGCCTAAGTTTAAGAATCTGTGACAGGTTCATGTTATTAGTATTTTTTGGTTTTCTAAGAAAATTTTATTTTTAATTTTAAATTATAATCTATGATCTTGTGCTGTCTTAGTGTTTGAAAGTTGCTGATTTTCTTTTCTTTTTCTAAACCTATGTTTATTGTGAAAGGTTTTTGCATGAGAAGAAAAATATGAAGGTGAGTTTGTAGGCCTCCATAAGAAAAATAATAAATAAACAAAACACATAGTTGCAGAGTTCAAAATATAATTTCAAGGCATTTCAATTGCAGTACAATAAAAGGAACCTCAGTAACCAACGGTGTGTTGACATAAGGCTTTGTGGAAGGAGAGCATTATCCTAAGAACTCACTTATAAAGAGCTTTCCACGTGGTTAGGGGTATCTCCGTCTGTGAACTAGGTGCCCCGTAACGCATAAGTAAGGCCTGCTATAAAGAATAAAATACAAAAAAAACAGACTGAGACAAATAAGAAATACTAGATGATCTTATACAGATATATATGTATACACAATATTATTTATAAAATATTGAGATATAACAATAATAAAGAGTCCCAGCACAAAAAGTCTTTTTGGAGATAAAAACCTTATAAAGGTAGTGCTTTTTTGGACATCAGTCTGTTATCCTCCTTAGTGTTCAAGCAGACAAAACTTTAGTGCAGATGAGGAATTATGTTGTTGGTGTCTCATGTGAAATAAAACACAAAAGAACCCACCAATAGTGTAATTCAGTATATACAATGTTTTAGGTAAAATTAAAATAAAATACACTCACAAGGAGAGAGCTTCTATTCAGCTCTAAGAGCTCTCTCCTTGCGAGTGTATTTTATCTTAATTTGGTTTGGTTTCAAGAATTTATTTCATGTTAGATTTACAGCACAATTATTATTCCCCCACGTAATTTTTCATAATACTTAGAAATTGTAGACTGTATTCACTAAACATTGAATCATATGTAAGTGACTAGAGAATTGGAAACGTTATACCAAAATATCCAGGCTAATAAAATTCCTAAACAGTTATACTTTCAGCTCTATTATTGGCATTTACTTAACAATTCTTTTGCTATTTGGCTATCTGACTTTTTATAAAATATTATTAAAAAATACATAATATATACACAATGAAAATGCAATAACTTAAGCCTATATCCCCTAGAAACAGCATGATACACAAAGATAACGTCTTATAGGAAAGTGAGAATTATTCTAAGGAATGAGGGATCACATGCCACTCTAGAAATTGTTCTAGTACATCTTTGAACTAGGTGTATTTTAGGGTGCTCTATGCAAAACCTACCATAGAACCCTACCCTACGCATCAAAATGGTTTAAGTGACACTCCTTTTCAAATGAGGAATCACATGCCCAGATAGATAGTAGGTGACCAATATAGCACAAGATAACACAACATACAAAGGTAACAAATAGAGTTGAACGGACATCTGGATGTTTGGGTCCGGCAGGTTCGGCCGAAATTTGAAAAAAATTCTGGGTTCGGGCTCGAACTTGACCCCGAACCCAAACCCCATTGAAGTCAATGGGGACTCGAACTTTGGAGCACAAAAATGCCTCTAAAAAAGTCCTGGAAAGTGCTAGAGGGCTGCAAAAGGAATTAAAATCGGGGTAAGAGTAGGACAAGTGCCCTACAAACAAATGTAGATAAGGAAATCACTTAAAATAACATAAAATACATAAAATAAGCAGCTGCTTAGTAAATAATTCCCACGGTATTAGGGAGCTATCTACCAAAAGGCTGAAAGACCTAAATTGGTCTTTCAGCCACATTTACTCGCTATACCGTGAGTAGGGGCATGTCTAGTAAACCGCGAGAAGCCAGTGGCTGCTCACTGTAAAAAAAAAAAAAAATCCTATTGCCCCCACCCCTGTCCCTAAATAAGAATGTCCTCCCCCCGGTCCCCACCCTGAGCAGCGGGTGGGGGCCCTATATAACAATAAGGGGGGGACCTACTGTCCTCCCCCTACCCCCCACCCCTGCACGGCAGGTGGGGGCCCTAAATGACAATAAGGGGGGACCTTTTGTCCTCCCTCTGGCCCCCACCACTGAGCAGTGGGTGGGGGCAATAAATAAGAATTTTGGGGGGACCTACTGTCCTCCCCCCAGCCCCCACGCCTGTGCGGTGGGTGGGGGCCCTAAATAGCAATAAGGGAGGGACCTATTGTCCAACCCTCGGCCCCTACCCATGAGTGGTGGGGGCCATAAATAAGAATTTGGGGGGGACATACTGTCCTCCCCCCAGCCCCCACCCCTGCGTGGCAGGTGGGGGCCCTAAATAACAATGTACCCCCCCAGGTGACTAGAGGTCCCCAAGCCCCTAGTCACACCCCAACCCCCCAAAAAGAAAGAAGACATCAAATGGTAAGTCTATTTTTTTTTTTTACAGGTATTTTGATAAGGGTCCACCTCATTATTTTTAGGATGAGGAGGATAGGTAGGGGTAATTTTTTTTGGGGGGAGGGGGTTGACTAGGGATTTGGTGGTAAATTTGTATTTAGGGCCCCCACCCACCGCTCAGGGGTGGAGGCCAGGGGGAGGACATCAGGTCCCCCCCTTACTGTTATTTAGGGCCCCACCTGCCACGCATGGGTGGGTGCTGGGGGGGAGAACAATAGGTCCCCCCCAATGTTTATTAATGGCCCCCACCCACCGCGCAAGGGTGGGGGCAAAGGGGAGGACAGTAGGTCCCCCCCAAATTCTTATTTATGGCCCCACCAACTTTGCAGGGGTGGGGGCCGGGGGGAGGTCAATAGGTCCCCCCTTATTGATATTTAGGGCCTCCACCCACCGCTCAGGGGTGGGGGCCGGGGGCAGGACAGTAGGTCCCCCCCTTATTGATATTTAGGGCCCCCACCCGCCGCTCAGGGGTGGGGGCCGGGGAGAGGACATTAGGACCCCCTTATCGATATTTATGGCCTCCACCCACCGCTCAGGGGTGGGGGCCGGAGGAAGGACATTAGGTCCCCCCCCAATTTTTATTAATGGCCCCCACCCACCGTGCAGGGGTGGGGGTGAAGGGGAGGAGAGTAGGTCCCCCCAAATTCTTATTTATGGCCCCACACACTTTGTAGGGGTGGGGTCTGGGGGGAGGACAATAGGTCCCCCCCTTATTGATATTTAGGGCCTCCACCCACTGGTCAGGGGTGGGGGCCGGGGGGAGTACAGTAGGTCCCCCCTTATTGATATTTAGGGCCCCCACCCACCGCTCAGGGGTGGGGACCGGGGGGAGGACATTAGGTCTCCCCCTGATTTTTATTTATGGCCCCCACCCATCGCGCAGGGGTGGGGGCCAGGGGGAGGACAGTACGTCATCCCCCAAATTCTTATTTTTGGCCCCCACCCACCGCATAGGGGTTGGGGCCGGGGGGGAGGACAGTAGGTCCCCCCTTATTGATATTTAGGGCCCACACCCGCCGCTCAGGGGTGGGGGCCGGGGGAGGCAATAGGTCCCCCCTTTAGTTTAAAAGCCCCCACTGGCACTTCACGGGTGGGGTCTCAGGAGGGGGGGATTTTTTTTTTTTAATAGTGAGCAGCCACAGGCTGTTTAATAGACATGCCCCTACTAGCTGGGTCACATGCTGCACTTGCCAATCACTAGTAGGCATGGCTGTGATGGCTTCTAAGGGCACACGAACCAAACACTTGTTGATTGACTGCCCTGCAGCCTTTCAAAACACGTAATTAAATCGCCGAACACCGAACTCCAACCCGAACATACAGTGTCCATGTTCGGTTCCCGGGTCCAAAAAACTTAATGTTTGATACGAACCCGAACTTTTCAGTTCAGGTTCACTGAACTATAGTAACAAATCATTGAGATGTCCACAAAATACTAAAATATGCATAATAACCATTATTTAATACCTCCTCTCTACAATTATTATTATTCTGTGCTACGTGGGTTTGGACAGAGGTAGGATAATACATATGTAATTAAATAGACTTAAATTATCCACTGTGAAAAGAGAATATTGTTGTAGCTTAAAATATAGCTAATATATTTATGGCTAAATATTTTATAAGAGCTAGTCACCTGGAAACTAACAGACTGCCTCTCAACATTTAGCACAAAACAGCACCTATTTCGACATCATCAATCTCCTTCTAGATTTTCTCATTTTCAGTTTATTGAAAAGCATATGTATTAAATTCTAAATTTTGCTTTTTATGATGGTGATGTGATGTTAAATGTGAACGTATATTGTGTTTTGTTTTTTTATGTAATCATTTATAAAATAATTACTCTTATCTGTAGTTTACCATATAAATTGTGGGCAATTAAATATATTGTGGACAATATTGATTTGCATTTTGCAAATCTATACCTTGGATAAATATAATTTCTTAAGCCTACACAGGAGAAAACAGGAAGTATCTAAAAACACAGCTTAATTTGGAATCTTGGATAGACTTCTGTCTGACTAAAGCATCGATTTAATATTTTTGGATAAGCTTTTCATATTGTTTAATATATTCAGTTAATAAATAAAATAAATTAGGTCCAGGCACTCTGGATCGCTGCAGGAAGGCAGCTTTATTGTAACAAAAAGTGCAATGTTTCGACCTACGCAGAGGCTTTTATCAAGCTTCTTGTCACAATAAACCTGCCTTCCTGTAGCAATCCTGAGTGCCCGGACCTAATTTATTTTATTTACTAAACTTGTTTTTGCCAACCCTGGCCGTGATAAGCACCTAAATTCATAAGTGTGAGTACAGTATCCTCGGTTTGTTTTTGTGTTTTTACTACATAATATTTTCAATTAAACTTTTCAAATAAGTTAATGTTTTGAAAAATATTAATTTTCCTCATTCTTAGGTCCCTTATAAGGTAGTCTGTAGTCTGTTCCTAGAACTGCAATCTTCTGGATAGAGATCTCAGATGTCCCTCACTGAATGAATTTTCCCAATTTGGGGATTACAGTCCCAAGTTCTCCTATATTTCTCCTAGGTGCTTTTTTATATACATACAAACTGACTTTCTGGTAGGCCTGTCAAAAGAGGGACCACCAACATTGAATAGTATGATAAATGGAGGAGTGGGTGGGCTGAACCAGGCCGTATTAGCTCAGAGTCCAGGTAACCCTTACTACAATTTCAGGCTCTGCCTACAGGCTCAATATATATATTTCCATGACATACTTTGGATATTTTAGTATTTTAAAAACAAATTATATTTAAATATGTATTTAAAAATAGTAAATCATTTGAGAAACTTAACCACAAATATTAAATTGAGAGTCAAATTCAGAATGAAAATCTTTTGTGAATGACATAGACTGTCAAAACATATGAGCATGTCAAATTGTGAAAGAACTATAGGTAAGTAGATAGTGCAAATACAGCCACAATATGTTCCCTTTAAGTCTAAAGATAAACATAGAATACCCATACAACTGCTGTGCATGTATGTGAAAGCTGGTGTTCACTGTCCACATAAAGTTAAATTAGCAGGAACTTCCCAATAAAAGCATTCATGACAAACTACAGACATAGCCACCAATGATAACCCACAAAGTAGTATTGTATTTGACTAGATCGATAGATAAAAATTACACAGATTGTACATGGATTGAATTCATCTATAGTTTTTGTGGTTATACATAAAACATAGTCTGCAAGTCACTTGCTTGAGAAGGTGTTTTAGTACTCATACTGTCTAATCAAGAATGTATGTAGAGTGAATGCTTATCTCATTAGTACAAAAGCATTCCAAAGGGAAATTATGTAAACATTTGTAATAGAAGAGTGCATGAAATACAAGCAAAGCTGAGAGAAGTACCCAATACACCAGTTAAGGGTTTAACTTTAGGCTTTGATTTAACTTTT